ACCTCAGGTCACGTTGGAACAATCCTAACAGCGTGATTTCTTCTTCTTCTTCTTTGAAAACGTGACTTTACATCGGATGCTCGCTAGCGCCATTCACAGGCTTTGGTGACACACAAGCAACTACAGACACACGGGCTTTGGTGATGTGATCCTGAAAGAATATAATAAAAATGCATTATATGTAATGAAAATTATTTTTATTAGTAGTAGTAGCTACTTCTAATTTTTATTTTTATTTTTTTAAACCATATTGCTCACAGATTGTATTGAAGGGCAGTGAGGAAGCAGGATTCAGATGCTGTAGGACAACAAACCATTCACATAAAAACGAATTTAGACAACCAAATACAAAAACTCTACTACTCAATACTGTAGGAATATAATAGACCAAAGGAGAAAGGAACAAAATACAACAGGATGCAATAATATAAAAAAGAATCACTAAGCAAACAAACACAAAACTAAATGTGTATGTGACATTATATAAATACATGATATATTACATCTTATAATATGTAGAAACAACATTATAAATCTGTGAAAATTCATGTAAATTATTTAATATGTAATATTTAATATGTAAATTATATGTTGACATACAATTTCTGATCCTTTCTGTTGTGCGTTTATAGCTTATCAATAAATGGTTCACAAGTGTTCACTTTACATTAAGGTTCACTTTTACAAGTTACTAACGTTTATAATTCATTAATAAATGGTTCACAAGTGTTCACTTTACATTAAGGTTAACTTTTACAGGTTACTAACGTTTATAGCTTATCAATAAATGGTTCACAAGTGTTCACTTTACATTAAGGTTCACTTTTACAGGTTACTAACGTTTATAGCTTATCAATAAATGGTTCACAAGTGTTCACTTTACATTAAGGTTCACTTTTACAGGTTACTAACGTTTATAGCTTATCAATAAATGGTTCACAAGTGTTCACTTTACATTAAGGTTCACTTTTACAGGTTACTAACGTTCATAGCTTATCAATAAATG